CACATACGCGATTTCGTCGACCGCGCTTTTGTGGAACACGCTTTTGACGGGCCTTACCTTAAGTTGAATCTGCTTGCTTTCAAAGCGCTATTTAAAGCGCCCTTCTTTCTCCGCGCTGGCTGTTGTTGCCCTGTTGATGACATCAGTGATGCGGTTTAATCGGGCGGGGCTTAGTCGAGCGCGGTTTTGATGGGTCACGGGTACAAGGAAGTCCTTGGAGGAGATACTCAGATGCCATGACATGTCTATAGCTCATGTGAAGTTCTAGATGTGAAAGTTGGACTTTTAATAAGCATGATAAAAATATTGATAGTTTTGAGCTTCAGTTTTGGATAACATTCTTGAGAATATCATGGATAGCTTAGAGGAAATGGGGTGGGGTAGGATAATAGAATAAATTCAGAATTCTCACTGGAAGCACAAATGGCCAGATTATTGCTGGAAAAAGTGAGACCACATATTTTGCACACCATTTTTCTTTTTGTACTCCATAGAGTGAAAAGAAAGATTCTGTGTTTTGAAATATAAGTTTTAACTCGTATTTGCATTTACTTTTGATAAAACACAAATCACACATATTTTGATTACCATGTTAACATATATTTCAAGATATTGAAATGCCTAATGATGATGGGACCTTATGGATAATAGGAACATTGCAATATTAGGACAGTCATTAGTTGGGATACAAAAGATTTCTGCTAAAAAAGGATAATTTGCATTCCTTATAGTCTAAATTTTGCTCAGACTTTTCATGGATTTCCACTCTTAAAACCAGGATACCAACAAGGAAATGATCACATGTTTTTTATTACTGAGTAGCTAATAACTCGGCATGGCCAGGATATTTATTTATTCCAATCCTGTATTAGACAGGAAAAGGAATGAATTATAAGTGGCAACATAAGTGCGGAATGGGCTGTCCTCCCTCCTTCCATTAACGTTGCCGCAATTCCTGAAGAGGCGATGGCAAAGATCAACTTCTCCCTGCGCCCTGATTTCAGCAACAATTAAATTAGTTAAAAATATTTTCTCTGTGCCCCCAGAAGCGTCAAGAAAAATGATACCACTGTATTGAGAATGTCCGGATCAAATGTAATTTCTAATGTTGGATTTTCCCCCTTACCAGAGGGAGCCCTCTTGTGTAGTACTGTGAAGTTGTTATCATGGCAACTCCACTGCACTGTATAGTAGAATTCGTTTTACGGCAGTACAGTAGAAGCCATTTTAAGGTGCAACAGGCTGTATCTTAATAGAACACCCCCCAAAAGGATGTCTTACCCNTGCTGGATGCTCATGCATGCGGACACACACCCCATTCTGATTTTGGAGACTTTTATCTGTATCCACGTTGGGAAACTTCCAGTCATGCCCAGGCTTGGGGAGAAGAATCTCTTCTTTGTCATGCTGTGCACACATGCACATCACACGATTCTGAGCTTGGGAACTTCTATAAACTGTTTTCCTTCCCTACCTTGATTAACAGCATCTCCCTTTGCAAATTCCAGACCGAACTTTAAATGTCCTGTGATGGCACTCAGCTATTCCCTTCTAACCATGATCTGCATCTTACTGCCAATTTGTGATGCTAGAATGAGGCAAGTCCCCAAGCTCAAAATTGCGTGTGTGTGCGCGTGCACGCACACGCGTACACGTGCATGCTTGGCTGCCTACAGTTTGGAGAGGTGAGATGTTGGGATGCTGAATTACACATGCAATTTGTTCCACGCCAGTCCACCCATACCCACATTGCATACAGCCGGCCATGCCCAAACAGCCATACCCAAATGGTAATGCCTGCAAGGTACACCAACCCAGCTGCACCCACCCGGCCATGCCACCTATGTATGTCCATCTGGCCACTATGAGTTGTTCCATTCCAGTGAAGCACTGCAACTGATAGGGCTGAATGCTAGGACCACTTCTGTACAGATCAGCAGAATGGAAATGTGGACACAGAGACAAATGCAAATGTCTTTCCTTTAATGAGTTTTTAAACTAGTCATTCTATCTTTCCATTGGGATAGTATTGGGGAGAGCTTGAGAGCAAGGACTTGGCCATTATGACATTGGAGGGAAAATCCTTCAGAATTTGAGCCTCTCCCATCTCAGCCTATCCCAATCCATCCTCTGCAATCCCTTCCTTCTTTGGCTGTTTCCCAAGATGAGGTTTTCTCTTTTGACAGAAGAACAGATACCTAATGTGAGATGCCTGACTTCAGGAAAATTCCAAGAATTCTGGGCCATAGAAATCAGGCTTCAGTCCTGTATGTCTTGGGTTTGATTATTCTCAAGTGAGAGATCCATACATAAACTTTTCAGAATTATTGCCATTACTTCAGAGTTCCAAAAACCTTTGGAACTAGAAGGACCATTGACATTTTAAGAGCATGTTCTTCTGGACCTCAAAAAATGCTGCCTAGGTGGTCTAGCAGATTACAAACTGACTGTTGAGTCACTCATGAACATCAGTTTACTAGAAGGCAGCCTCTTTCTGTCATTCTCTATGTCAGCTTTGTCTTTCTTCTGGGCCAACAGATACATTTCTGACTCAAAAACAACCACCTTCTATATTTAATTTTTAAGAAGACCCATTGGAAAGTCTGACATATTTTTGGATATGGAGATGATACGGGCTTTTTTTTTTTAAAAAAAAAATTCATTTTACTTACAATATTTGCATACCATTCTTCTAAGAAACATCAGTGCACTTTACAAAACAATAATCAATGCAATACAAAATAGCAACATATGTGAAAGCAATAGAGACAGTAAAACCAATGCCTGTTTAGAAACTAATCATAATAGTAGCTGATTTACATTCCTGTTTCCCATTACATGAAAAATAATGAAGAAGATTTTTTTAAGAATCAGGTAAGACTGCAACCAAGCATTAATTTCCTATTGATTGTTAGCTTTCATTTTCTGAACAATGGTATAGTTTTAACAAGATATTTCTGGCAAAATTTAAATGTTTTTATGTCCTCTTTTTTGCAGGGGAAAAAGTGGTTTGGAGATGATGGTCAAATTTTAGCCTTGCCCAATCCAGTTAAACAATCCCTTACTAGACCTCCATCGTTTCTTACAAAGGGAGACCAAGAGACGGACCTTGTGATCTTTTATAAAAAGGTATGTTGGTTATTGCATGTTGTTAGATGCCTCAGTGCAGAATGGCTGAATACAAATCACTGCCCAATTCAGTGTTTTCAACTTTGGTAAATTTAAGATGTGTTGATTTCAACTCCCAGAATTCACCAGCCAGCATCAGCTGGACCATGGTCTTCATTATATACATGAAGGGCTTCTGGCATGGGATGGACTGCACCTCATAATAATCAGGAATAATGTATTCAGAAAACAACTGGCTCAACTTATCAGAAGGGGTTTAAACTAAAATTGAGAGGGGAGGGTGACAAATCCTTAGGATCTTTAGGACCTAATAAAGCATAAACTTCAATACAACCAATCAAACAATGAGAAAATAAACTCAGAAAGTCAGCCATGCAGGACTCAGTGCCTATACACAAACTCTCAAAGTTTGGGGAACAAACAGGGTGAACTTGAAGTAGGGCAAATATGATATGGTTGCCATTACTGAAACTTGGTTGGATGAAACCCACAACTGGAATGTACTGATGGAAGGAAATAAACTATTCAAAAGAAACAGACCAAACAAAAGAGGAGTAGACTTGCAATATACAGTATGTAAGAAATCACTACATATCTACAAAAATTCACAAAACCAAGGATGAAATCCTCCTTGATGGCATATAGATCAATATAAAAAGGGGGGGGGGGAAATTGACAGTTGTATTACTACAAGGCCACCCAACATAGCACAAGACATACCATATTTTTCGGAGTATAAGACATAAATTAGTTTTGGGGGAGGTAAATAGGGGGAAAAATTCTGCCTACCAGGTATTCATTTTTATTCCCATAGCACTAGAAAAACAAGCAAACTGTAAGGGCTCCTATCTTAAATTAAGAAAATGAAGACTCTTGAAACGGAGTATTTCAAAAGGAACCTTTTATTAAGAAGAATGGAAGCCATTAAAGTCAAAGCAACATCTAAATCCCTTTAGGCAATGGAAGTAGAATTAAAGCAGTAGAGACCTCTCCCATTTGTTAGAATGCAGATTCTAGCCAATACACAGGTGTGAAGATGTTTCCTTTATCAACTGCCCTGAGAGCCAAATAAACATACATTCCCATGGCTATCTTCCGTTACACAGTAAAGTGCCACATCCCACATGGCCATCATAAACATTCCCCCAAAAGGTGATTGGATCTCAGGCATTTCGGCGCCAGGAAATCAGTTGTAAAATATCAGTTGTCACAGGCACTGCTAATAAATTGACTCCAGAGCCTCTCTACTTCCAACTGAATGGCAGTATCACTTTTAGGGATCTGACATAATAGTATATAAAACAACACTTTTTGCCATTTTTTTCTTTCCCCAGGCAGCTGGGGAAAATCTTAATAAGCTTAACTAGATATCTGGGTATTCAGCCAAAAGCACTTAACAGCTGTAAAAATGTAACAAAGCTGAATCAACAAACCAGCCCAGTGCTTGCCTGAAGGAAACCATTGAGAAAGGTGAGATAGCTGATAGGAAAAATCCCTGCCTTGCCCTTAAAGGGATTATCCCCAAAAGAATAGAAATCACATAGTCACATGAACTATTTGCCTTGCCCTTTAGAGGATTATTTCCCAAAAATAGAAACTGGGCAAAAGAAGTACCTCTTAAGGCAGTCTTCAAATCTTTCATCCGTTGGCTTTTCCCAGCCTGAGTGAATCGGGAAATTTTTCCAACAGTATGCTGCAGTAAAAATACTTGAAGCTTTTTTTAAGCCCTAATGAGGTGCTAATGAGTGAAGTGATCTTGCTTCACTCATTAGCACCTCATTAGGGCTGGAAAAAAGCTTCCAAAAAGCTACATTCAGAGTATAATGTGCACCCTAATTTCCACCCTCTTTTAGGGGGAAAAGGGTGTGTCTTACATACGGTAAATGAACTTTTTGCTAACCAATTAACAAATGTATGTAGGAAATATGCCACAGTAGTAAGGGGATTTTAACTATCCTGACATGGACTAGGAGACAAACTGTGAATCAAATGGAGATCAAACAGGTTCTTGACCTATTGACAAGTTTGTCATCCAAATGTTAGAGAAGGGAACTAGAGCTATATTGAACCTAATTCTTACTAACAGAGAAGAAGTGATAGAGGGGGATGAAGCAGAGGTGAATTCATTTTTTTTTACTATAAGTTCTGTGGGCATAGCTTGGTACGGGGACTGCAAAATCTCCATTCCCACCCCACTCCAGGGGTAAGATATTGCAAAATCTCCATTCCCTCCCCACTCCTGGGGGAAGGATACTGCTAAAACTCCATTTCCACCCCACTGGGGCCAGCCAGAGGTGGTATTTGCTGGTTCTATGAACTACTCAAAATTTCTCCTACTGGTTCTCCAGAACATGTCAGAACCTGCTGAATTTCACTCCTGAGTTGAAATTGTCAGAAATTTGGGGGAGAATGACCATGTCATATTTGAATTCACTTATAATGCCAACACAAACAATATAACATAAACCAGTGTCTTACACTTTAAGACAGCTGATTTACACAAACCTAGAGAGAGAACCTGGGAAGGATTCTATGGTAAAAATCTTAAAGAGGAAAACAACTCAAGAAACTTGGGAAACTCTGAAAAATATTATTATAAAAGTTCAATCCAGCTCAAAACCACTAAAAAAGAAAAACAAGAAATCCAAGAAGAAACCAGCATAGTTGCACAAGGAAGTCTCTGGAAAACTGAAAAACAAAAATGATAAATATAAAAAATGAAAAGAGGGACACATAACTAATGCAGAATACCAACAAATAGCCCAAACTTGCAAATATGAAGTAAGGAAAGCAAAGGCTGAGAATGAAGTAACAAATGTCAAAAATAATTTTAAAAGTTTCAACATATAAAAAACAAGAAAAAGATTAAGAAAACAATCAGTCCACTAATGAGTAAAGACGGCAAGGAAGTAACAGGCAATAGAGAGAAAGCAGAGCTGCTTAATTCATTCTTTGCATCAGTCTTCATGCAAAAAGATAATAAAGCTGAACATACCATATTTTTGGAGTATAAGACGCACCTTTTCCCCTCAAAAAAGAGGGTGAAAATCTGGGTGCGTCTTATACACTGAATACAGCATTTCTAGCCTCCAGAAACCCCGCCCCCTTTGCAAAAATGGCCATACATAGCCTTTAGGAGGCTTCCAGAATGCTCCTGGGGACTGGGAAGGGCAAAAATGAGCGAAAAACAGACTGTTTTTTGCTCGCTTTTGCCCCCCAGCCCCCAGGAGTACTCTATAAGCAGCCTAAAGGCTAATTCATGCCCTTTTTTGACAAATAACGGGCCCATTTTTGTGAAAAATGGGCTGTTTTGGGGAGGTCTGCATAGTACAAAAACTTTTTTTTATTTGCCTCTTCAAAATCTTGGTGCATCTTATATTCTGGTGTGTCTTATACTCTGAAAAATACAGTAATCATAAAAAACATAGGACATAAATTAAAATAAGCAAGAAAATGGTAAGAGAACACCTGCCAGATCTTGATGAATATAAATCACTGGGATCTGATGGATTACTTCCCAGAGTTCTGAAGGTACTGGAAGATGTGATATTGAAACCATTGAATCATATCTTTCAAAGATTCTGGCACACCAGGGAACTACCAGAGGGCTGGAAAAGAGCTGATATGGTTCCCATCTTCAAAAAAGGGAGTAATAATAGATTGAAGAAACTACAGACCAATCAGCCTGACATCAATACCTGGGATGATCCTTGTAAAGATAATCAAGTAGCCGATTTGTGAACACCTAGAAGCAAGAAAAGTTATAACCAGAATCCAACACAGGTTTGTTAAAAACAGATCATGCCAAACAAATCTTATTTTATTCTTTGATAAAGTGACTAAACATGCAGTCTTTAATGGAACTACATCTATATGGCGAGAAGTAAGCAGTGGGGTACCCCAAAGTTCCATTTTATGCCTTGTACTCTTCAACAGCTTCATAAACAATTTAGATGAGGGAATAGAAGGGAAATGCATCAAATTTACAGATGACGCACAACTGGCAGGAATAGCCAACACCCCACAAGATAGACTCAAGATCCAGATGGATCTCGATAGACTTAACCTATTTTTCCAAAGCACCAGAAGGCAAGACAAGAAACAAAGGATGGAAACTGATCAAGGAGAGAAGCAACCAAGAACTAAGGAAAAATTCTTAATAGAATAATTAACCAATGGAATGGCATGCTTTCAGAAGTTGTGGGTGCTCTATCATTGGAGACTTTGAAGAAAAGATTGAACAGCCACTTGCCTGGAATGGTATAGGATCTCCTGCTTGAAGACCTCCAAGTTCCCTTCCAACTTTGTTATTCTGTATTACTCTATAACCCCATTTACCAGATGAAACATATCAGCTTATCCAGGTTGTGACTGGCCATTTTATTAAACAGAAGCCTAACATGCACTTGATTCTGCAGTCAAGGTTGTCTTTATGGTTTCATTCAATGGTCTTCCATGAAAGGCCAAAGCTAAAGGCTTCCTTTTTAGTGGAAATGGCTACTTTAGTACTAAGATTGGACGGGGCCTAGAAACTAGTAAACACCAAGCAAAGAGCCTTACTTTGACATCTGTCTGTGACCTTGTTTCCACCTTGAGAGGCCATCACCATTTTGAACAAAGGTCATGCTAAGAGGTTCTTGATAAATTAAAATAATGAAGTACCTAGAAATACAATTAACAGCAAAATGCGTAACAATTAAAGAGGACAATTATATGAAACTGATACAACAAATTAAACTAAATTTGGAGAAATTGAAAGATCTGCAACTGTCATTAGCAGGAAGAATAGCTACTATAAAAATGAATATTTTACCAAGATTATATTCATTCCAAACAATTCTAATAAAATGAGGGGAGGATATTTTGAAGAACTAAATAAAATAATATTAAGATATATTTGGCTAGGGGAAAAAAGCAAGAATAAGTTTGAAAATGTTGCAAGACTCCAAAAAAAGAGAGGGGGCTTTGGGCTGCCAGATTGGGAATTGTATTACCAGGCCTCAGTACTTACATGGGTGAAAGAATGGATCATTTTTAGGCATAAAAGACTGTTAACTTTAGAAAGACATGACCTTCAACTAGGTTCGCATGCTTTTTTATGATATGGGAAGAATAAAATACATAGTTACTTTCAAAGACATATTATGTTAGAAATGCACTATAATCAGTATGGCTTAAAATTAAAGAACAACACTACCTGAAAATACCAGTCTGGCTTTTCACAATGGAAGCATGGATACAGCCTAATGTTATTAACATGGAAAAAATTGTAAGGTATGTTGTAATCTCAATATGAGAAAGATGCCAAAATGTATGGTTTCAATACAGAGTTAATAGAATTGGACCAGATATTAACAGGAATAGATGAAAAACTGATAAAGAAAATATATTGTTAATTATTAAGTATCAAACTTAAAAGTGAGCTGGTAAAGGAGACGATTGTTTGGGCTAAAATTTTTAGATATGCAATAGAACTACACAAATGGCAGAAATTGTGGGATAGAAATGTTAAATTGACTATGTCAACTGTATATAAAGAAAATTTGTATAAAATGTTCTATAGATGGCATTTTGCACCAACAAGACTGGCAAAAATGTATAAGGATAGATCTGAATGTTGGAAATGCAACCAAATACCTGGTTCATATTACCATATGTGGTGGACATGTCCAAAAGCCAAGAAATACTGGACAAAAATACATACTTGGTTGGAAAAAATGATAAAATAACATTTACTATTAAGGACAAAGAAGAAACTGAATACTTTTTGACATGGGACTTATTTTACCAATGGTTAGACAATAAAAACAGAAGTTAGAAATGCAAGGATATAAAAAGGATAAATGTTAAAACGGAAATTTGATAAAATAGACAAACAAAATATTATTGTTATTATATTATCAGTGTTATTGTGATGAATGTTATTGTAAAAATTTTTATTACGATTGTCTAAAAACAACGGTACCCAGACAACACACTGCAGGGGGATGGTGGATTCAGAAATGGAATTTTTATATGTTATTCAAATAAAGTAAATGAAACATGAAAAAAAGTTCTTGATAAATGTCAATTCCACATTTTATTTAACTTATCCTTAGGCATTAAGTGATATTTATTCCTGGTTTGCTAGTCTTTGGTATAATTAATCTCAGTTATATGTAAAGCGAGCCAGAGGCTTATAACTTATGCTGAAAAGAAAACTCTCCAAATTAGTTGATTATGTATGATCCAGTTGTTATATGTTTCTCTGAAATCTTAATTCTATCATACCTCTGTGTGAATGTAGTTGCTTAAATTTTTATTTTAGGCTCTAAAAATGAGACTTGCCAACCAGTACATTGTTGAAAATGATGATCTACAAAGTTGCTTTCAGTTGGATATTGACATTTCAGGATTAATATTCACACATCATCCTTGCTTTAGCCGTGAACATGTTCTGGCAGCAAAACTGGCTCAGTTATTCGATCAATATCTTTCCAGGAAACAGAGAAATGTTACTAAACTCCTTACAGATAAGGTAATTTCACTAATTTTCTTCAATTTGCAAATGTGTTAATAAAACAGAAATCAGCATTTTTGTAGAATATGCAGAAGTCTGTATATTTATAGAAAAATATGCAAATATTAAAGTATGTTTGTGGTTGAATAACAGAAAATCTTATTCTGTTATTAGATAAAAATAACAGATACTGCTAACTACTTGTGCTTGGCAAACTTTACTGAGTTATTAGCTTAGCTGTGATATTATTGACTATATGGAGAATGGTTGCAGGAATTGGGTATATCTGGTGTAATGAAAGGAAGGAAAGAAAATTACATGATAGCACTGTTCCAATATTTGAGGGGCTCCTACAAAGATGAAAGAGGTCAACTTATTTTCCAAAGCAACAAAAGGAAGATAAGAAACAATGATTGGAAATTAACCAAGGAGAGAAGCAACCTAGAACTAAGGGGAAAAAATTAGTTGTGAGATCAATGAACCAATGGAATAGCTTGCCTTCAGAAGTTGTGGGTGATCCATTACTGGAGCCTTTCAAAAGGAAAATGGACAACTATTTGTCTGAAATGGTATAGGGTCTCCTGCTCAAGCAGGGATTGGACTAGAAGATTTCTGATCTTCTTTTCAATTCTATATATGTTCTATGTTATAAATAATATATAATAAAATAAACCAGGTGATCTCATGATTGTAGACATGACATGTATTTGTGATAGTTGGGCTTTGTGCTCCCCTTTTACGACCTTCTGACAAGCAAAGTAAATGGGGAAGCCAGATTCACATAAGAACTGTGTTACTAACCTGTTCTGACCCCCTCCTCCATCCAGTAACGAAAGCCGAGATGAGCTTAATTAGAATGTCCTTTAATAACAAGACTAGAATCTCGGTGGCTGAAAGCCAAGCAAACAAACAGATAAGGACCTTGGCAGCAAGTCTGACAAACCTTGGCAGCAATTCAGACAAATCTTGGCAGCAATCCAGCCTACCAAGTTAGTTACATTCTCTAGTCAATGCGTTGACTTCTGCAAGAAGGGTGTGTCACAAGCAGTCTTTTTTATAGTCTGGAGAGGAGCCTGATGACCACTAGCTGAGCATAATTACCTCCTGTAATTGCATAATTGTTCCTGA